CTTTTGCGCGCTACCTGTCTCACTCTTTTCCGGCCTCCAGCTTTTCCTGCTGGAACCCGCCGCTTAAAGGTGGGGGTCCGCGGACCGGCCATAGAGCCCATAGAGTTAAAGGTGTTGGCCGTTAGCTGTAAAAATCCATAGATTAGCCGCACCGTTATATAAGCCGCAGCGTCGAAAAATAGGGAAAAAGGCGCGGTTTATAGTCCGAAAATTACGGTAGTTTCATGCTCTCAAGTGCCAACACATCTTGGTAATTATACCCAAGGCAATTTATTGTGCAAGGAAAACTAAGACAGACAATTCTGAAAACCTGCGATAAATTAGATAAAAGATACTGATTTATATATTGCCTTTATTATCTCGGACAGCCACATCTTTATTATGGGATCACACAAAATTGCTGCTGCTTATTTTTTATAATGGTTCTTTACTTATTTGTCTGTATAGTATTTAGTTTTTTCACTTACGTGTCATTGTCTCTATATTTATTATGTTAGCTTACTCTTTATTTTTTTGCCTTATGCTGTAAATGTCCCCGCTGCAGGACTAATAAAGGCTTTCTGATTCTGAATCTTTAGAAACTTGACAAAGTAGAGGTTAAGCCTGGAGTTATATATCAATTAATAAGCAGTAGGGAGAAAGCCGGACTATCTCTCATCTTTATACTGTAGTTGATATGACTTTGAAACTGCATCTTGATTCACAAAAACTTCTGTGCATTATTTATTTTTTGCCTTTCTTTTCAAACTTTGGCTGGCTCAGCCCAAAAGACTTTCCTCCCTAAAGGACCCGTGGACTTTAAAGTACACAAAGTAAAAGTTTCCCCCTTGGGTTCTTCCCAAGGCATGGACACTCAGAATCTATTACAGTCAGAGGTGTCATTGAGCGAGACACCAGACTGATATTTCTCTCTTTACCCTCCAGCTGTAGAGTATTTGCTTCGGCAGGAACTCTTTCACAGCCATCATGGAGGTCTGGGGTCACTTTCACAAACGCAAACTAGGACTAAGGCTTAGATTGACCTTATAGTCAGACTTAAAAATGAACGTCTTAATTGATCCGTAACACATATTTGTCATTTTATTGTCTTTCTTAAAGGGGACCTATGATGCAAGTGCACTTTTGTACGTCTTTTATACATGAATATGTGTCCCCGGTGTGTCAGGGAACTCACCAAGTGTCAGAAAACACAACCCTCTCTCTTTTTCTCCATACCCAAATCTCTAAAAACGGGGCTGCAACGGATCTGATACAGACCGATCCAGATTTGAAATATCAGAAAAGTGGAGCTCCGCCTATATGGTCAACTCTCCACCTATCAGGGGAATGAGAGGTTGGGCCACGGCCGGCCATTGCCATTAGAAAGCGCTGGAGACGCTGTAGTACATATGCCAGGCCTGTAGGTGGCGCTGTCGTCTGCCACAAAAGCAGTGAAGAAGACTTCTCACAGATTCAGCCCTTGCAAAAACAGGGCTAAAAAATAGCAAATAGAGCCAAATGAGGCATGGCTAAAATGCATGATCTCTTTTTGGTATTTTGAAAAAAAAACTTCGCAGACATGTTTTATATAGGTATGGCCTTACAATATATTATTCAAATATAGCATGATAGGTCCACTTTAACCCATTTACCCAAAGACAATGGAAAAATGCTAGAATATTTGTTCATAATGGTCTAATCTCTTGGAATCTGGTATTAACATACTTAGTATCGAACAGGAACAGTATCTAACAACTGAAAATATATTATATAACGTGGAAGAAACACCCTTTTATTAATAGCCAAAGTCAATATTTTGGAAAAATAGGAAAAATACAAACATTTTGTTTAATGAATCTCTCTATATGAGGTTTGTTTTGCATACATTTGCCTATATTTGATGTTCAACTTTTTATGAGTTCATGTTCATCAAATACTTAAAGTGGACCTATCATGCTATATTTGAATAATATAGTGTAGGACCATACCTATATAAGACATATTTATACTTTTTATTTTTCAAAATACCAAACAGATCATGCATTTTAGTCATTCCTCGCTCAATTTAACACTGTCTTTGCATGGGCTGATTCTGTGAGAACAGCACCATCTATAGGCCTGGCATATGTACTACAGCGTCTCCAGTGCTTTCGAACGGCAATGTCCGTGGCTGTCTCCTCCTGATTGGTGGAGTTGGCCCAATAGCCGTAGCGCCACTTCTGTGACGAATCTGGATCAGTCTGTATCAGATCCGTTGTAGCCCCTTTTTAAGAGATTTCGGTATGGAGGAAAATAGAGAGGGTTGTGTTTTCTGACACTTGGTGAGTTCCCTGGAACACCGGGGACACATATTCATTCGAGTTAAAGAGTAAATTAAGACATTCTAAAACAATAGAAACATCGCTGACCAAGCTGCACAGAAAATGTTGTCTGCAATAACATTACAAAGACATTTACTGGGAAAATTCTGCAAAGAGTGTAACAACCCAAAAAACGTCCTGTAGCATTAAATCTCAATGCAGTGCAGACCTGTAGCAGAGCTGAGAGGCTGTGAGGTGTCAGAGCTCAGTACGTCGGCAAACCCATCAATCAGACTAAGGATATTTCCTTCAGGCAAACAAAAAGACGGACGATGTATCCTCACTGCTGTGCATTCCCAACAGGTAACTGCACTCTGTGAAAACTCTTTCCCTTCCTATTACTCGCTCCAATACATTGTTAGCAAACCGCTGTATCCATGATTGTACAGCATAAGAGTAGGGTACACTATCTACTATTTCAGCTTAAAATGTCAGATTACATTATTTAATTCTAAGCTAAATTTGCCCCAGCTGATTTTTTTTTTATTGGGATGTTGCTGTGTTTCCAATCCTTAGCATTGAGTTTGGAGAGTGAAGTGTTATCCCACCTTATAGAAATGACAACAAAAAGAAGCGAAATACCACCTACATGTTAATAAATTGGCTTTAGACTACAGACCCGCCTGGAACATGTGTGTGAATCGGTGCCCCATGAAAGCCACGGTTACTGCTGAATTAAAGGAAGGCTATTTTTCGTCAAAGGGATGCTCACAGATTGCCCTACATTCCACAGACAAATAGGTTAGCACGGATACGCATTGCTGCGCCTAGAGTTAGACTCCTGTGCGCCTCACATGATGTTTGCAGAAATCGAGGTGATGACCCACCATGAGCACGGCATCGATGGAGTCCCTCTGTGCAATGGCCCACACCCCGATAGCAAACACACTGAAGTTCACCCAGGCATAGGAGGTGGGAAGCCACGCCATGCATCCCCTGCAGAAAACACACACATTCTACAGTCACATAACAACAATAACAGCAAGAATATATTTGTTTAGAGCATTTTTCCAACTTAAACATAGAGTGCTGTCCAGGTTAAACTATTTACAGATTCAAATGTAAAAGAAAACAAAAAATCAAGAAGAAAACATTTCAAGCAGCTCAGAGCCCATACATAAACAGATTGAAAAGTTTTAGTTTCATTTAAAAATCTTAAATCCCAAGCTCCGCCATCAGTGCAACATGCAATACACTTTAGACAAAACTAAATACAGAAATAAGGAAGTAAATGATGCAATAAAAATACTACAACTGATACAATGGTGCAAAACTGTGATGATATAATAATGTGGAATAAACACATGTAAAGATGAACAGTGATTTCTAAACACATGTGAGTGGTGAGATGAAGATGGAGTTACGTGCAACATAAAAGTAATAGAAATACATAAGGAAAGGCCGTGGAGGTGAAATAGAAGCCCTGACTCAGTCAGTTGTAAATCATTCTCTGTGTGAACGTGTGTGTTTGTGTGTGCCCAAAGAGGAGAGAAATTCCTCAGGTTTGTGAAAGAAATCCTGTGCTCACACTCACCATACTGTAAGCAGCCAGTGCACCAGTACTATGGCCTGAAGCAGAGAACAAGAGACAAGTGTTGGAAAGACTAAAAAGGGTTGTGATTCAACAGTTTCAACAGTCGTTTGATCTTCTAAAACTCAAAACATTTAGTTTCTCCAACTTCCCTACTGTGAGTTTTTCTCTGAAGTCATTGTTAACCACACTCCTTGGGTTTTGGAAATAGGTTCAACTTTGGAATTTATTTCACTATCTTCTTACAATTTAAGACCTTAGGATTTATTAAGGAAATTAAAGAGGAACATCAACATAGGATGTAGCCCTAATTCAGTCTAATTGAGCTCACTAACATAAAGTCAGAAAATATAGAACTAAACATAAAGCATGTGATCATTAAGTATTCAAAGCACAAGTGCTCCTTTACTTACATTTTCAAATCATCTTTTCTGAGTTTTCACATCACATGTTTAAGTCCACATTTCTGACTACTTTTGAACTGTTTAACCTTTACAAAAATACTATACAGGCATAATTCAATTGAATGTTTCTCCCTTTTAAGGAGGGACAGGGACATATTATCCAGGCATCAGGTTACATATTATAGAACAGTGTTAAAACAGAACACATAGACAGCTTAGAAATAATTGACAAGGTAATATTTAGTTTGAGATAAATATTTTTTAAATCATTCAGATCTCAACACTGAGCAGATTCACTGATTTGTTTCTAACATCCAATGCCATTTATAATATGGTCTTTCAACAGGCCTGCTGCCCAGTGCCCATCAATGTAAACAGAACTGCATAAAAACAACTAATCTCCTGGGTAGGGTATTTCCTGATTAACTACTAAACTCTTCTACTCCTATTAAAAAACAACAATAAAGCACCAACAAAAGCACATGTCAGTAGTTTACTGTGGTGTGTCTCAGGCAGGTAGTTGCCACACTGAGGAATTACCAATGAGTATTGAGAAACACAGTTGACATCATCACGCAAGTTAACACCAGTCCTCGTTAAACACTGCACTCCTCCAGCAACACACACACCTCCAGCCTCACCTTTAGATTAATGGCAGGGATTTCCATCACATCAGCTCTTCCTGTACCGCTTCACCGCTGCCACTTGTTGATTGTGCTACATGAAAAACTGCGGAAGATTGTTTCCTCCACAAACTTCTCTCCAAAGCTCCTCCTCCCTTCAGATCAGCCTGCAAACACAAACCATGTGACAGCAGCCTGACTGCCTCCCATGTGACTCCCCCCTCCCTCTTCCCCCCTGCATCACCTCACTTTCTCGCTATAAAGAAACCACATGGGCACCAGCAACGTCCCAGTAGAGGTTTACTATGCATGATAAGGAATTAACCATGTCTGTTTAAACTTTAAAATGTTTAAAAAAAGAAAGAAAAAAAAACCGTCTAGGTCTCTATAAAAGATAACAAACGTATATTTATAATTGTAAAGGATTATATGTATCTTCCAATGTTATCTTACACTATTGTACTTTTTTTATGACCAAATATTTTCAATGCCAAAACTTTGCTGTGGTTATAAAGAAATAGGGAAATAAAGTGACATCACACCCTCTGTGACTAGAGGCTTTTGATGCAAGCATAGTCATTTCATTGTATTATTATTATTAGGGCTGTCTAATTATTAGGGCTGTCTAATTAGTGTGTGATTGATTTAGATTAATCAATCACAGAAAAAATTACCGAGACAGCCCGGCCACAGTAGCTTGTCAACATGATGGACGCGGAGGACAAAAAGTTACTTGGCCCAGTAAATGGAAAATATGCTTAAAATGGAACCGTTGAAAGGAAATGTTGTCCAATTCCTGCACCAAAATCTTTTGTACCATCGGAGTCAGGGACTTGCCAATTTGTGGCCCAATGCAAAGTTATGTGATGAGGCCCTCTGTGTCGCGAGCATCGACAGGGATGGGCAGCTGGAGCCTCGCAGTGGCGAAATTGTGGCGCGCGCCCTTGCCAATTTGTGGCCCAACGCAAAGTTATGTGATGAGGCCCTCTGTGTCGCGAGCATCGACAGGGATGGGCGCGCGCCGCTTGCGCCGCATAAGTGCATAAAAGTGCGCCGCATTTGCGCTTCAGATGAGGCTCCCTCCGCAAGATGAGGCACCCTCTGCGAGATGAGGCGGCCTCAGGTAGATGAGGCCCCCTCCGCGACATGAGGCCCCACGCACTCTGCGTGATCTGAGTGTAGGGAGGGGCGGGCCTGATCGGAGTACTTCGAGCCTGAAATATCTCCTCAAAGCAAAGCACTTAGCAGCTAGCTCGGAGCTAGCTAGCTAGCTAGTGGCCAGTATCGTCAAATCGCTCTCAATCAGGCATTCAGATGCAGAATGAGTAAGTCTACCTGTGACAGATTAACCAACTCAATCGCAAAATGGAAAGCTAGGGACTGCAGGCCAATTTCGGTGTTAGAGGAGCGGGGGTTAACGGAGGCCTTACAGATAGCGTAAAATGACAACCTTTAAGCCGACGTCGAGGTGTACAATTGTGTCCAAAACTCAACATATTTAGGATCTGAGATGATTGTAGCATACAAGATATTAAACAAATGGTATTCAAATTACAGACATGGTGACCTTTAAGTTTATAGTGCCTTCTCATTTATTCACCCATCTTCCAAACTCAATTTGAATATTTTGAAATGCTTCTCACAGCAAATATTGCTATATGCGACTCATTTAGATTAATTAATCACAAAGCATGTAATTAATTAGATTCATTTTTGTAAATGCTTGACAGCCCTAATTATTTGTCAATGCTAACATGAACATGTTTAGAAAGTGTAATGTTTACCACATTCCACAAGAGGTCAGGGCTGCCAACATTTGAGTTCAGCTAGGAGTGAGATTTTATTTTGGTGAACCGAAAAAAGAAGCGTTCAAGTGTAGTTACAGTGTTACAAATGTATTGAACATTTACAAACTAGGGTTTCCCATTAATGTACCGGGCACTGTGGAATGCGCACATACACAGTGTACCCGCGACTCTTACAATGAAGGCTCGATAATCAGCTCACAGCATACAAAATGGCATATAGGTGTAAGCAGAGGTAAAGGGATATTTTATAAGTAGGGGGGGGAGGTCCTCACCTCCTCTAGGGGGGTACGGGGGCATGCTCACCGGGAAGATTTTTTTTTTAAATATTGAAGTTAAAAGCATTAATCTGGTGCACTTTGAGAGCAACATTAAGAGATCTATGGATACATCTCTCAACATCCATATGAAACAGAAACATATTTTCTTTTTCTTTATGGATATTTTACAAATCACTCACCTTTTAAACTGTATTCTTGTTTTACTGTCATATATATTTCATAACTGTTTTTCATTTATTCTCATAAATGGTGGCCAAACCGTTTGAGACCCAAACCTCACTGAGCTGTAGTTATCTCTCTCAGTCTGACAGCAGAGAGCTCTCACTCTCCTTGTTTTAGAAACAGCTTTTAATAACCGTTAGCGCAGCTAGCTAACAACAACAATGCAAATAGTGAGTTTGGTAGAAATATACTGTATAATAGTAAAGTTATTTAAGATGATGCCATATTTATTGAAGATTTTACATTATAAATATTCCCCAAAATTATTCAAAAGCATATTCTTCCAAACTCTCTGCTGTAGTATGACCACCAGGAGACTATTGATGTGTGTGGTGATTTTGGTAGTAATAAGCTGTATAATAGTGATTGAATATTATTGTATTCTCTTTTTTGGGAGTTGCACTTTGCAGACGGTCCCTGAGCACTCGTTTCTTCTCCGGCTGCAGATAGAGACCAATGTAATGTGTCCAGCTCGGAGGACGGCGCGTATTGGCTTTTTTAAAATCAAAATGTGACTGTAGTTCGTTGTCAACCTTACCACGGTACTTAGGAGACGTCATTTGTGTCTGAATAACCTTTTGTTCATGAGTTATTGATCCGTGAAATCAGAATCTCCCAATATCGTTCCAACTTTACTGAACTAAGCCAGAAGACCGTCTCATTTCGTAGACCGCTCGGTTTGCTGTTCCTTCACTTTATTTTTATATTTATGTACATTTATTGTGGACGAAAACTTAGCGTGAGGAAAGGCAAGTGTGGCGTGAGTGCGTGAGATATGGGTTAATTGCGTGACTCTCACGCTCAATGCGTGAGTGTTGGCAGCCCCGTGAGGTATTATTGTAGTGCATGGCTAACAGTTGCTAATTTAATAATAGACACAGTTCATGCTAACAAAACTCTCAGTTATTTGTCAGGTATGGACATAAAGTTGTGTATTAGACATGATACTAACATTATAACTTAAAGGAGAAGTCTGCAATTCTAATCCAAGACAGGTGAAAATCTCCTCACGGTCTCCGTTCTGTGTTCACACTGATAGAAATCCAGTGTTTATACATAGCCCTGGCTCTGTTAATGGTGGACAATATGTAAAAAGAGAAAAGGCAGTTGGAGCCAAAGGTAAGGTAAATCCTGCATGGGGTATTTGTTTGTGCGTTTATTTTAAATATCAACAATTCTTCTCCAAATGTCACAACTTCTCTTTCAATGGATCACTAAAGTCAAAAAGATTCCTCCTCTGGGGAACATGACAAAATGTCATGACAATCCATCCAGCAGTTTACTTGTTTTACTTTGGTGTTCTGTTCCATCACACGTTAATTAAGCAGATATAAAAATGTCTCAACAAATATAACCCTTATCCTACAATTACCTGCAATATCAGGTGATGCTGGTAAAGTTGTAATTAAAACAAATGTGAAATGAAAGATTAATGAAGCTGTAACCAAGAAAAAATAAACGAACCAGAAATGTTTTTAAAAAAAAAACCAGCGGTCAAGTCTACAGAAAAATAAGGTTTGTTTAGGTCAGGGCTAGTAAAGATGTTGATAACACATACAATCGATCAAATAAATGTTGAGGAAGCCATTTCCAGACGGCAGTCCTAGCAGCTAGTGACATTTAGAAAAGTTATTTGATTTTTACCCATTCATCCTTCAAACGCTTTGTTCCATGAAAAGTTTCTGTATCTACTGTTCAGTTTACTGTGAAATTTAGTATGGATTTATTATCCCCAGAGGATATCCTCTATTGATTTTGATTGACCTTCTCTGATTTGGTGCCTTGTTCCACATCAGTCAACTAAAAAAAATAACAGTCAGTTTCTTGCTTTCACTTACAACTGCAGAAGAAGGAAGATAAAATGTGATTAGATGCAAATGAAATAATAAGGCGTAAATTCAATTGATTAGGATTACATTTCACGCATTGCCGAAAATGCTAAAGGATGGATATACAGCAATGTCCCAATAATAGGCAAAACAAATATATACATACTGACATATTATTACCAACATATCAAAAGAAAGCAAAAAAACACCAAAATTGTAGTAATCACATACCCTTAAAAAACAGAGCAGTTTTATGGTGCCATATAGGATAATCCCTTCACTTATTGCATTGTTCCGTCTCCTTTCAAATCGCACTTATACAGAAAGAAAATACTTAATATCAAAACTCATTTAGTGCTTTAGAAATATAATATTCCTACATCTTCTCCTCAACTCTAAATCATAGTCTCTTATCTGTTCCCAACTGTTATTAATCAACTAAAGTTCCAGCATTATGTAAGATAATAGCAAGCAAATCCATCCACTTGCGATCTGTTTAAATGCAATGAAGCTCAGCACAAGTTCTTTCAGGAAGACTGGGTATATATATATACATTCACTCTGCAGCTGCATATAATCAGCTCATCACGGGCGTTCTCTTTATTTCACCTCATTCTCCAGTAGCCAATCACCGTGCTGCAGCCAAACTTTAAAATGGTTCTCCTCTCTCCTGCCGTCCGACTCCTCCCCATCCACATCCTTTCATCACATCCAGTTCCAGGAGAGTTAATCCAAAGACCTCATCACACCTCCTCTTCATCCCATCTCCTCATCAAATCCAGATCTTCAGCATCATCATCACCAGTGTCTAGACCCCGGGGGGTTCCCTATATGCTCACGGCTGCATTTCCCCCTTTAGATATACGATTTCAGGATCGGGGTCTAATCGCCAAAGACTTAATATTTATCATATGGCATGTGTCAATAACTCTTATTTAAACAAAATGAAGTCTCTCCTGATTGAACTGGAAAAAGTGGACCTTGAGTTATCTCCAAGGTCAAGAATAAAGTTGCACGCTATTGTTTATGCACCCATGAATAAAAGATAATACGATAAACATTCTCCTTCTTACTTTTGTCTCTTCATCTTTCACTTTTCCAAATCTAAAATATTTCTCTCTTCTGGGTTCTGCCACGGAACTTTCCCCTGACCTCCTCGTCTGAAATGTCATCAGTCTCTGGATTTTCATTTGACCCTTAAACTCAAGATGACCAAGGGCAGCAACCAAATCTTTAAAATGCTAATGTGTGCTGATTATTTTTGAAGTCTGACTCACTCCTTTCGCCCATCTCCTACCTTAGAGGAGATGATTCATTGTTCCTGGCTCAGCAGATGGCCCCTGTGCTCTCATTTACCAGCGTGAACCCTGACCTCCTGATGACCTCTGACCCCTCCCTCCCTCTGATTAAAGTTGTTGTGCTTTCAAACACTTCAGAGCCAGATTTAGCAGTCCCAACATGCTGTTTGCATGGATTTGTGTGTGGAAATGAGATTGCAGAGTGACAAATTTGGGACTTGTTATTTCATTTTCAGGTGGAATGTCTTTTATCATTAGGGAAAATGCAATTATTGGATTCAATTGAGAATTATGGATCCATTTTACATCCTAACCTGCTGTGAGTATTCTTTTCCAAAATACATTTGCATCTATTTTCATTACAGCTCATCAAACGGTTTATAGTCTTTTTTATTGTCTCTGTAAAAAAGGAACATCTTTTTTTACTTTGTTTACTCTTATGTAAATTGTTGATATCCATGATGAGCATCTCATTGCTTTGTTTTTTTTACGAACAATCTAGTGAGACTCGTTCAGGCCAATGGAAAGGAAAAAAAGGCCTTTAATTATGATTAATTTGGGAGCATGCCTTGAGCATTGCACATGGAAAGTAACCATTATTTGTATTATTCATTATTTGTATATCCTTTTATATATATATTATTACTTCATTAAAAAACGTTTTATTTCTTTTACTTTAAGTATTTTGTATGTATCTTTTTTATAAATGTAAATCATTTGTTATATTTACATTTATGTGTATTATTATTTGGGCCAACCAGTGCCTTTATTGTAGAGACACAGTTATCATGTCAGTTATCTTTTGCATTTAATTATTTATTTTGAGCATTGTTGTGGCTTTTTTTGTTGCTGTTTTGTCTTGTTTCAATGTGGAACAATAATGTTGTTATTCTTGTTCCTGTGATCTTCTGGTATAGAAAGTTAAGATAACTAATCACTCCAAGAGCTCCTCAGGTCAGAGTGCTGCAGCTCTTTCAGGATGTGGCTGTGTGTAATTCATCACTTGTCTGGCTCTTGGCTCTGTCGGAGGTAACTATTAAAAATACATCAGCACTGCTTTTATTCTGTAGCTGTAAATCAGGATGGCACAATCACAGCCCGACAGAGCTGGTGGCTAGAAAAGAAATACGAGTGTTACTTTCTCCTTATAATCAAATATTGATAGATTCTCACAGAGCTTGTGAGTTGGGATCACGCTGAGTGTTATTGCTTGCACTTGCTCTAATGTGTCGTAAGCTTCCCGTTAAAAGGTTTTGACACAGAGAAGTGTGGAGATAATGAGCTTCAAAGATTGCTGCATTCACTTTATCACATGGAGACTGAAGGCGCCTCAGAAGTGACTGGAAAATCCTAATTTTCAAGAAAATATGTGTGTGGGTTATTTGACACATTTATCCTGATATATATTGATCTGAAGTATTTCAAAGAACATTTTTTCTTTTTCTCAAAGGAAATGATACATTTACAAAAATCCTGATGGCTATAACCTTCCGATTAAGAGTAACTGATTACATTCCAGTGCTGTACTTAAGTACATGTTGAGATAATTTCACTTAACATGAGCATTTAGAATTTCAGCCCATATGTATTCAAACTATAATGTCTTAAACATATTTATCTTACTTTTAGTTTATTCATATTTATAATAATAGTTCTGGACTATATATATATATAATATTCATATCTTAGCATATGTTATGTCTTATTATTTATTATTTATATTTATTGCACTTAACTTAACTTCTGGTTACATGCTCGACTGCATGTTGTTGCCCCTAAGTATCTGATGTATGTACGATTACAAAGGAAAGTTGAAATCTTAATTAATCCTCACTTTCAGAGGATAATATTAAACCTTATACTACAGTATTTGACAGATATTGTTACTTTTCAGATAAAGATTTTATGAAAACTCCTCCTTTTAATTTGAAAAATAGTTTCAAGCCTAAATGGTAACATGATCAAATATTTCACAACTAAAGCTAAGATTAGATAAAAGTCAGAAAAATAGCAGAACATGTATTTGTTTTTTCCTTCCTCATTATTAAACTCAGGACCTCCCTGATTCATCCTGTGACCTTTAGAGAGTCCTGACTCGCGGTTTGGAACCACTTGAGTATTTCAAGTAGTTCAAACCAGTTTCTCTTGAGCTGCTGCAGCAGTGAAATGCTTCTCCACATGAAGCATCATTATTAATAATCGCACAACGTTTTATAAAAAATATCAGGAACAGACATTTTTCTGCAGAACATTTTTACCTACAGTATATACAAATTAGAATGTAAAGGACATTTTGTTTATTGTGCTACGATACTTTAATTTTCAAATGCTGGACTTCCCTTAATTGTGTATTTCACATTGATTGATTTGTAATTTCACATACTTTTAAGTGCAAGATCTCGACTTAAACGGTAATAGAGAATCTAAAAACATGCATTAAGTAAAGCGTAAGTGTAAGTGAATATGACTATATGTGTGTATTTCAATAGTGACATTTGTTTATACGTGCCATTTGTTTTGTTAAAACTATTAATATTTCATTTTGAGTCTTCTGACACAAAGCTCGGAAAGTAACAATTTTTAAAACCTAAAATAGCTTTTAGCACAAAGCCAAAGACATTAGCAATACATGTGAGTGCCTGATAAAGATGAAAGTCAATGGTGCAAATAAAACAAAGTTTACACCACAAAATGTTTATCCTAGTAATTGTTTAATCATGAAAACCAAAAAAGACGGACAAACACAACATCTGGACAAACATGTGTTTAAGTACAGTATAAATAAAACATATATTAAGACATGTAAAAGCAAGTTCAAACCAGGGTCTTTGTTTATCGTTTTACCGTTACGTACATTTGAAGAGAAGTGGTATCAAGTTAACAAAGAAAGTTGTTCAAACACTTTCTTATTTACAAAACAGGACAGCAGACTGGGTTCAAATAGCGTTTGCAAATCATTTTCAGCATGTGTGACAAGAAAGAAACCAAATGTAGCAGAGAGTTCACACAGAAACCCAAACGGTGATTCAAGCATAATTTGTTTGAGTGACAGCTTACTTGACTGAATTTGAATCATCCTGAAGTAATAAAAGCCATCTGTTTAGGACTCCGAGCACAGAAATGTAGTAATAAAAAAGGATTTGTAAACATTGTTTGACTCAGATCAGAAGGACAGAGACAAGCAGCCGCAGAAGAAGAACTCATCAAATATGTGAGGTGAATATCCACGCATACACTATGTGATGTTGACAGATTTCAATCAGTGTTGTGTTTCCAGCAGAGTTGAACTTTTCCACCAGACTTGAACAAATACAAAAATGTATCATCGTGAAAAACAAATCTTTGAAAAGAAAGTAGTGATTTTTGAGTAAGGGCTGGGCAATATGAATAATTGTTTTGTAAATGTAGGACAATATCAATATTTATACTACACAGCCCTAAGAATAACTAACACTGAAACTTAAAAAATGCTTAAAGGTGGGGGATTGCTGGATAAAAGATGTGGCCCAACCAAAATGCAATATTTTTCCAGTTAAGTCCCTTGTTTTTTTGTATAAAATGACCAAGTGTTGTAATTTCTGCTGTGGAATCAATTTAAAAAAACAGCGACCCATCACCTTTCAGCACTTGTCTTAGCTCCTGCGTCAGAGTGTTTATGGGAAACAAAAATCTGGATCTTCCTCCCTCAATTCCCTCCATCTCGTCGTCCTCCTCCTCCTCCTCCTTCTCCACCTCAGATGGTGATGAAGCCACCCTGGTCGCTGCTTACGGACTCCGGCACCACGCAGCGCCCCTTTCTTCGAGTCACACGCCGCTTCCGGTGGAATTTAGCATAACAGCGAAACCCTGAAAGATGATGAATAATCTGTTGGCTAAATATCTTAAACAGATAAATGTGGACGTGGTAAAATACAGAAATTAAAGGGGCCCTAATCTGCACATTTTCAGTTAGATTTTTTTATTTTTTGCTTATACTGTGACCTGTTTACATGATTTAATGTTCAAAAAGCTCTTTATTGTTCTCATACTCATGCTGCAGCACCGCTTTTCACCCTCTGTCTGACACCAGAGCCCAGTCTGCTCTGATTGGTTTGCTGTCCATCTCTGTTGTGATGGGTCAACTTCTTAGTAAGAACTGCCCCGCCCCTTAGCCGATCACATACAACAGTTTGTAGTGTTAGCCAATAGAAGCCTGAGTTACGTTGTGATGTCACCATGTTCCGGAAGTAAACAAAGGAGTCTAATGGAGGCGTTTCAGGCAGGGGGTGTGGGAGAGAAACTCCCTCTTGAGGAAACTTTGGGATTTTAGCTTTTACGTGCACAAAAACCTATATAACACAGTACAGGAAAGGCACAACAGAGCCTCTTAAGGCATTTGATTTAATAATTGCTGTTGGGTTGCTAAGAATGTTTCGACCAATTTAACATGACATGCCTTAAAAACTAATTGCCCATCTGCTTTTTTCCCACTGTGAAAACGCTGTGAAAAGGGTCTGTAGTCCAGTAGAACCATTTTACCATGTCAGGTTTTGCTTTTTGACAAACATATTCTTAAAGGTCCCATGTCATGGCCATTTCATAATTCCATTGTTTGGAAGACTACTAGAATAGATTTACATTGTTCAATGTTCCAAAATCACATTGGATTGTTGGAGTTCCTGTCCCCCCCCCCCCTCCCTGTGAGCCCACTGTGCTCTGATTGGTCAGCTCGCCCACTCTGTTCTGATGAGTCCACCACCGTTACAGCGGAACATCAGTGATTATGTGTTACAATGGTGTTAGCAACCAGAAAATGACACCAGTAAGGACAAACAGATGAGAATGCTGCGTGGGGTCTGGGTGCCGTGTTGGCGGGACGTTGCGCGGCTCGCTGCTGTGATTAGGGGACAGTGTGAGCTCTATTACTGGTGTTGTTTCCTGGTTGCTGCGTGGGGTCTGCGAGACAGCGAGACATCGCAAAACTCAGCCTGATAGACGCGGGAAGGGGGGGTGCTGAGGGGGCTGCAACAACCCCCATCTGCGAGGCTCCACTAGCACCAGCATCCCCCCTGCACCCCCAAACGCGCCGTACCTACAGTGTAAGCGCGCCACAGTTTCGCCGCTGCGAGGCTCCACTAGAACCCCCCCCCCAGCGCATCACAGTTTTGCCACTGAGAAAGTGTGTGTGAGGAGCTCCACGGATTGGTCCATTTGGGTATGGTCACGTCACTGTACCCAGCAAGAAAAATTGAAATCTCCAACGAGGCGTTCTGGGGTAGCATAGACAGGTATTTTCTGTGTTAGAGTTTTACTCGCTACAGGGTGTACTCTGAGGGTTTGTGACTCTGCAGACCGTTTACATGCAGAAAAACCTTCATAACACACAACGGGACGGGTAATAACCAGAAAAGCACTTTAACTGATTAATAACTTTTTGACCTTGTTCCTCACTCACCATCCTCACACATGCAGTCATCGTAGCATTTGTTGTTGAGGCCTCTGTTGTGAGGTTGGCACTCATGTTGTCTCAAGTCACAACACGAACCTTTAAAGAAACAAAAACATTATATAATCAACAATCAAACTTGGACACACTGCCAAGAACATGATTCAAATACAATATAGAAAAAGAGAGAGTTAGTTTTATGGGTAATAGTCACTTCAAGAAATTGCATTTTCTTCTTCAACCACTTTATCAAATCCTAGACAAAGTTTTTTCTCAATCAGATTCTTACTATCAGAGACGATGTCCTGCATGAAAAGTAAATAATAGAATAATAAGAAATGTTTTGGTTATTTCACTTTTCAAATTTTAATTTTTTTTGTGTTTTTTTCTCAATTATTTGAAAAGGGTGGAGTTTGATTGCATTTTTTGACCAATCAGGATTTAGCCATGTTTGATTTAAGGTGTGATGTTATATTGTTTTACATCGGTATGAAGAAACATTTAGTGATGTCTCTATAAAGCATTTCTGTACGTCGAATTTTGCAAGTAAAGTTACAGTCAGGGGTGCACATAACTGGTACGCAAGTACGCATGTGCTGCAACAATCCGAAATGCGTACCGTCTCTTGTGTCACAAAGCGCGGTTAGAACACCGGACGACGGAGTCGGTCTCCGTGTGCACAGACAGGGCTGCTGTTAACGTCGGTCTGTACAACGGAATTGTGCCAAAACTACGCCAACCGGCTGCGGAGGGAGACTCCCCCCGTTCACTGGAGAACTGCGCTAAAACAGCTGATCACAATGGTCACGCGCTGTGGTCACAGAGTACTCCACTAGCGACCCCCCCCCCGTTGACGTTCGCGATACAGAGGGCTTCATCAAATAACTTTGAGTGGAGCCAGAAGTTGGAGTACCAAACACTGACTCCAGGTACTCATCTTAGTACCTCACTGAGAAAGTTATGTGCACCCCTGGTTATAGTTTAGTAAATGATGTGTAGAATTTTATGTATTGTGCTGATTCTTTGCAGGATGTTATTGTGTTCATGCGGAGACTTTGAATGTTGTGTTGTGTGTGCTTAAGGGGTTGTGTGTGTAGGCAATCTAAGAATTTAAATGCTAGTGTTTGTTTTTTAACCAAGGATGTAGGTTTCGTTTAAGAAGTGACACACTTTCAACAAAAGAAGACATGCCATCGGTTCACCAACATTAAAAACATATTATGGATTATATGTAAATTGCTGCACTCCTAATGTAATAACCAACTTAATGTGTCAAGTTTGCTATTTTTAGGCACATATTATGGGTCTCAGATATATAATAATATATAAAAACATGTCTATGATGTGTTTGGCTCAAAATAACAATCAGATCAGCTCCGTTGTACCCCCGTTTTTAGAGATTTGGGTACGGAGGAAAAGAGAGAGGGTTGTATTTCCTGACACCCTTAGCCTATCACGTACAATGTGTTGGAGCGCTAGCCAATAGAAGCGCAATTATTATTTAGTGATATCATTATGTTATGGGGCGTTTCATTAAGAAAAATAAGGCACTTTTTGAACATTAAAGCATGTAGACATGTCACAGTAGTGGCACAAAACACAAATAACAACCTGGAAATTAGCATAATATGTACTCTTCAAAGTAGTAACTGATATAATAAGGATTTAATATGGACATTTTTCACAAAACCTGTTTTCAAATCAGAGCTTTTTAATGAAATAAAGCCAACCTTTCTTCCTGGAGGCGGGCCAGGTGTCCACAGGCTTCATGTCCTCATAGTCTGTCCAATCAAAGAGCGCCATGTCCAGCGTTGGCATCACATCTCCCTCTCCTTTACCCTTTCCAGACCGCTGATAAGGAAAGAGAACTTTAAGTCACACTTCTAGGGGTGTCACGAAATTAACCATGGCATTTTGGCATTTTTAGGTTTTTTAGGTAATGTATGTGATAAATTGTTTATATAATTATTGCACTTCTCCTTCCTCCACCAACTTTTAAACTCTATATCTGCATCTCTCTAAACTTGATGTTCGCTAGTTGCCACAAAAAATTGGAAACAAGGACATATGGCAAAAAACTCACAACTTTCAATTGGCTGCCTTAGTCATGTGATTCAACAAGCAATTCCGATGTGGCTCCTCTTCCTGTGTCACATTTGAGCTCATTAGAATAAACCTCCCTTTTCGGACGTGTAATTAGCAACAACTTTATTGTTTATTGATATCAGACAATGATACTACAGATTATTCAATTATTAATTAAATATTTTGTTTTTGTATTGCATTCATTTGTATATTACTGTATCGTGTCTGTATCGTCTTTTGTTTCATTTGTATTTTCTTTGGTTTTACACGCTCGAAAAAAATAAATAAACTAAAAAATAAACTAAACTAAAATCCCCACAACTTAGTTCATCCACCCACGTCTTGAGAACCTAATTAGCCTTTTTCTTTTCTCAAGTCAATCACAGCTGATTGGGCTTTTTTGAAGAAAGACATTATGAGAAGAATACATGATACTTTGTAAATCACAGCATGTTATCTAAAAATAACCCGCAATACAAGTGTGAACAAAAGATGAGAATAATATGTCGTCTTTAAAGACAAATTTGACAGATTGCATTAATATTATATTTTAAATTTTACATTGTCTTAAGACAACATCTCCCTGAATTATTTTGGCCGCAATGTTGCGTAATGAAATGTGATATTTGACAACCCTAGGGGATTTTATAATTGATTATCTACTTCGTATTTCAGTGAGAAAATTTGCATACCGAGCTAACTCACAATCTGTATCCAAACATGCTGATGCAGATCTGTAAACACCTAATCCCACCTTCCATTAGCTCCAGCATGCTGTGTAAACTCTGCCTCCATTGTAACAAATACATCTTATATCATATATTTATTTACATATTCAAAGACAATTGTGATCAGAATATGAAAATATGTATTAAAAAAACGAATGCCAAATGTGATGCTTTTCACCATACTTTAGAAGAGATCAATTGTGTCTCCTCAGATGATTGTGTAGTAGCAGCAGAGGTGTGGTTTGATTTGTTGTGTGTTTTCCATCACTGCAGTGTGTTTTTAATGAAACACATTTGATGTGTTGAGGCAAGCTACAGTAATGCCTCATTGATTCATAAAACGCCCCCACAGAGTCAGCAAAGAGGAGCTTAAAAAAATGGTTGATCGGTTACAGAGGACTGCCCACAACCTTAATACAAATATATATCGCATCATTTATATTGTTAATACTTATACAATAAACAGATTGAAGCGTACGGTTCATTACACACAACATCAGTGTTTATTTCTCTCCTGTGAGGGCAGCAGGCAACTGAATTGACTTTATTAATGAGATGTTAAAGCCCTTAACAATGCGTAGACTATGATTTCCTTATGTTGTAAGGATAAGGTACTCTATAAAATATAGTTTTAAGTCTTTAATTACACTAATGTAACTGAAAATTGTTATTATTGGAATTAAAGAGGACATATGTGCCTCTACTGTGACATGTTTCCATGCTTTAATGTTCAAAAAGCTCTTTATTGTTCTGATACTGCCTGTGCTGCTGCACCTCTTTTCACCCTCTGTCTGAAACCAGAGCCCAGTCTGCTCTGATTGGTTAGCTGGCTAGCTGTGTTGTGTTTGGTCAACTGATTAGAGATGTCCCGCCCCGTAGCGTACAATGTGTTGGAGCGCTAGCTAATAGAAGCATGAGTGTTACAAAGTGATGTCATTATGTTACAGAGGTAAACACAGGAGTCCAATGGAGGAGTTTCAGGACGGGGGGGAATGTGTGTGAGAAAAATATCATGACTTTAGTAATTACCATTGAAAGAAAGTACTTCAAGTTAAAGTTTCTGAGAGTATTTTTACATTTATTTCAGCCAAGCAGTACTCTTTACCGGTTATGACTTATCAAACCAACACGTCCTAAAATATCTATTTTCCTTCCAAATATCCCAGACAGCTCATTTTTCTAAACGTCTACTTATTTGGTTGAAGTTTAAGGCAAATAAAAGTTATTGATTGAGATAGATTAAAGAGTCAGGATCACATCTGAAAGAAACAAACTGCTGTCTGTGATGTTGAAGCCTCTCTGTACCTTTGTCTAGAGCCACGAACAATGTGAACAAAACAAAAGGTTATTCTAAGACATCTAAATCTAATGAAGACGTTTTTTGTCCCTAGAGAAAACTCAGTTGACCTTCCTCTCGCCAAATCACCGTCCAAAATGTCAGCACATTGGATATCCCATCATCAACAACATGAAAAAAAGCCTCTTGGCTAACTCTCATTTTCAGCAGTGTTAGGTGCCGTTTACACGAGGACAAAACGGGTTGTATCTGCTACTTTTCTCTCGTGTATAGCCCGTTCGTTCACACGAGGCGGACACGTAAACGCGTAAACGGACCCCGCAAACGATAATGGGTCCCAAGCATGGTCCCAAGGTGGATAGATCTGCAAACGGAACACTCTGGGGGGTCAAACGGCTCAGTGTGTACGCCCTATACCAGTGGTTCCCAACCTGGGGGGCGCCAAAGATCGCAGGGGGGGCGCCAGGCCTCAGATGATTTGAGGCCAGATATCATATTTAGATTTTTTTTTTTTCTGACTATTATAACATTAGCGTTAAGAAAGCTTACTTAAATATCTGCCCCAACATAAGTAACGGGATCAGAGTAACATTAAGCACACTCCGACGCATATCACATCATAATGTATNTCTCTGCATTGCCCCCGGGCCTTCCGCCCGAGACCCCCTCCTTGGTCTCTGCCTTGCCCCCGGGCCGTCCGCCCGAGACCCGTCCTCCAGACCCCCTCCACCCACCCTTTCTTGGCCCTAGTTATGTGTTTTGTCTGGTCCTCCTCCCTGTCGTTAGTTTCCCTGGTGTGTCTGATTGTCTCATTGTGTTCACCTGTTGCCCTTGTGTTTCTCCCTCCCCTGCCCAGCTGTGTCTTGTCCTGTGATTACCCTTCTGTGTATTTAGTCTAGTCTTCCCCTGTGTTCCATGTCGGTTCATTGTTTCCCTCCATGTTATTCCACGGTCTGTGTTCCTTGTGCTGCTCGTTTGTTTTGGATATTTTGGATACTGCCTTTTTTTTGCGCTTGTACATGTTTGTGATTGGTCGAATGCTCCAAATACCACCCCTTTCATGTGAACGCGCACCTAACTAAATAGGACACGGCTGGCTTGAGTTAACAAGTTGATAGCCAGCATCGTGGGACCACTTAGCGAGAGCGCGTTTGTTTGGATTAGGTAAACCGTTTAACTCAAACATATCCAGGTTATGTTGAACCGGCTTCGTCGTACAGGCCTCTGGTGTAGGAAAAGTGCAATACAAATAAAGCTTTATTATTAACTATGAGGATAATAAATTCAGAATAGCAAGAATCCAGCGAGTACATTAAAAAAAGCCAAACAGTGCAATGCTGGTGCAAATTTTGTAGGGTACATTTGTATAATGTTCATGTATTTTATATCATTTTGTTTTTTATCACGTTTTTTTGTGCGTAATATTCAGTAACAAAATAAAAAATAAAAGATAATGAGCATTCTAAATCTGTGCTTGCCTCCAGGATAGTTAAAGTCAAAGGTTGGGTACGTTTGAACCCTAAATTAATATTTCTCCCACAGTAAAATATAGTCATTCAGAATATTGCTATAAAACAAAACTCATATTTTCGTATTCATAACCCTCTGTAATAGAAGCCATAAAAAACATTACCGCTGTCACTTTCCTGACACATATGAAGCTAAATATAAAGTATAATTAAGCCAGCAGGACTTAGAGACGTCTCTTGAGGAATACTCGGCCGATGAAAGACATCCATCAAAAAATAAGAATCAACCTCCTCATGGAAACAGATCCATACTTGTTTCCTTCCACCCTCAGGAAATAAGCGTATATGGAAATATCAATTAGATGAATTGCAGGGGGCTGTGTCCTGGTGCTCAGCTGCTCATTAAACCATCAGCAGAAGATCGAACATTCATTAAGAAACACGCTGCGTGCTCACGCCAAGTTCAAGGCTCTCTTTTCTTCTGAGGTGAAATAATATTTCACTCTAATAGTGTTCTAATGGTAAAGACACACACAGATTCAGGCTCTCAGTCTTTTCTATATGGTGCTTTAACTGTTATTAAACTAGCATTGGTTTTAGTACATCCACCTGGTAGAGGTCATAAGGGGGTTCAAAATGCTAACCGTAAAATCCTTTCAGAAGAACATCTTGATTCAAAACTCCAGTCTAAGTATATATGTTTATACTCTTCTGAGCCACCCTCTTTTCAAAAGTATCTGACACACATTTCCAACGAGCATGCACGGGTATGTTGTTTAGTATAAATGAAAAATTATTTATCAAACAGCAAAGTCTGGCTCACTCTCCAGAAATAATATCTGCTATTTATTGCCATGGTACGTTGAAAATCTGAAATGAGATGAAAATCTGAAATGATATTATCGAAAACATTTTCTTTGTCTATTTTAAGCCCACCACAGGTGAAGTTTGACATCATACACAGACTCGTCAACAAAAAGAGCCAGTTACCAGTACATGATTATAAAAATACTTTAATGATTTCTAAATACTATATACTAAATACTAAAATATCTTAAACTAAAAGCTCTAAATTGTTAGTGATTAGGTTCCTTGCGGCAAAAATATGGCTACATCTTGTTGTTTGCGTCATTCCCACTAATTAAACGCGTCAGTGCACATCTTTACTGTGTTGTCTTGAGCAGCACTCCTCAACAAAACAACTGTCCATCAAACAGCATTGTGGATCCTGTCACTAAGGCGGGTATTTCCCATGGACGCCCTTCAAGCTGGTGTGTGTTTGTTAGCAGCTGCTGTGACAAAATGCCCAAGCTTTTCACGCAGTGGGCAGCGGATCAAAACTATTGACATCAGGGGACATCTTGTCTTAAAGAGTGTCCTTTGTAACGGCTCCATGATTGCAGGAGGAGTGAGGAAACACTTGTTATTTTAGATTATAAATGCTGTTTATGCAGCATCATGCTGGGTGAGTGTGACAGGTGGTGGGTTGCGCCCCACGCTATCCTGCTGATTTTCTGTGCATGTGCCCACTTGGGCTGCACCATTTTGAAAAAAAATACGGATTGCGATGATTGTGACGGATATAGCAATAGCAATGATTCACTATTTTGGAGGGATCGATCATTTTCTAATCATTATTTTCCTTATCAATAAGGTGTTAATTCGTTTTTTAAGATAATTTGTACCAAACAAATATGTTTTGATAAGTCTGTACATTATTATTTGTATCTCTGCAGATCCACAATACTTGATCGGATGGTATATTTTGAAATATTTAGCCTTTACCAAATATTGCATAAGTCCATAGTGATAGTTGATTACGTTTTGATTAACTGTGCAGCCCTAGTGCCCACAGTCGTACTGTACACAACAAATGCTTTCCGTGCTCACATACATTGTGTCCTGCCATGGCTCTAATAAGGAAAACAGAAGGAAAAGTGTTGCTGGTCTTTGGATCTCGATCCCAGAGGTGTACTTTTATTATATAGAACACAGCACTATCTATCACACACACTGTGACCAAGAGCCAGTGAGTTGGGAATGCCGCGGTATATTTTTCACGTGCTACACTTTCAGGTTGTGTCATTTCCAAGATGAGCTATGAGGTAGCGTAACGGTGGGAATGGGGCCCGTTTTGTGCTCTGATTCCCCCGCACACTGGAGCCACGCTGGGCCAACAGACGCAGCCTTTAAGAAGCACTTGGGTTTCGTTTGGGTTACCTGGGGTTTGGTGGAGGCTGGGGGCAGCGTTGGGGGATGCTCGTTCATCACCGTGGTAACCATGGAAGAGCCAGAGCCAAAGACAGCGGCGATGGGGGAGGGGGTTTCATCGGGCGGGGTCATGCTGAGGGAGGGGGAGGCAACTGAGGAGAAGGAGGGAGGGCCCTCCAACAGATCCCTGTCCTTAAACGCAGAGCTCAGCTCAGGCTCCGGGAGAAATCCTGGAGGGAAAGATAGAGAGAATATTAAACCATCAATACAACATTCAACATTATCTTACAATCATGACTTACTATTGTAAACAAACCTTTATAAAGACTTAATGAAGTGGGAAGATATGGTCTAATTTTAAAGCTTGGACATTTTAAGAGCTGTCATTCCTAAATGTTCACCAAACCTACAAAAAAAACATGGCTAAAGAATGTTTGTGCAGGGTATGTATTTAGTGTGTTATCAATAGAAGAATCAGTAGCTCGAACTACAGCTTTAACATACATGCTGACAGCAAACCTCAAGACTCATTTACACTAGTGGAATTTTGAAAGACGAGATTTAACAAACCTTTATATGGATTTAATAAAGTGGGAAGATTTTATGGCAAATGTGTTGAGGAAGATTGTGTGTAACGATCAAAAACACATACGACCATGATTGTTGTGTCCATATTTTGGGAAATGTCTTCCAACACTTCAGTACACTGGAGGTGGCTAGCTGGATTTGTGTTGCTCAGACCATTGAAAACTCACATTTAAAAACATGTAACAACATCCTTTTCGAGAAACAAAGTCTTGGTCTCTGAATAATCCACACATCCACAACGTTTTTGGATATAATTTGACTAATGATGTGACTACCATCATATCAGTATAACTGAAATGTACCAGTAAGCCAAATGTTTTACATGACTTAATAAGGCCCTTAGCTCCATGTTGCTAGTCTAATGCTGGACGGCACTGCAAAGGTGGATAATAGCCTAATCTGTATATCATTTAGTCAGCTATTTTGTTGTTGTCTTCGTCTTTTGTCAAATGTCAATATTAGGCTTTATCAGACTTCATCCTGGTTGTATAGGGTTAGGGTTAGGGTGTCTGTAGCTTATAATGCTATTTGTACCCGGGTTTCCAAAGCTAACGATGCTGTTTATACTTGGATGTCCATAGCTAACGATGCTATTTGTACCAGAGTGAACTTAGCAGGCAATGCTATTTGCACCTGTCTGTCTTTAGCTTACAATTCTATTTGCAAGAGGGTATCCAAAACTAACAATGCTATTTGCACCTGGGTTGCCATAGACAATATAGCTATATTCACCCGGATGCAAATCGACATTACTCTTGACAAAATATCACCATGTTTCTTCTCCTGAGCCCTGTTGTCATCTTTAACTTCAGCTAGTACGTTTACAAGTTTAAGACTGTGCTGATTGTGTTCTGCTGTGATATGGCGAGTGCAGGTCAGGAAACAGTTTTGCATAAAAAACATTCTAGAAAATTGGGATTAACTTTGATTTAAACTAGATTTAGTCTCCTCTTTTTCATCACAGTCAGTGTTTTCACTAGGTGGTCCTGAAAATAGAGGTTGTTGACAAACATCTTGAGTCATTGTTTTAGTTAACAAATGGACTGGATAAGTCAGGTCACCTTTGCCATGCCGCTCTTTGTCCCGCCGACTCCCTTGTCTCCTGTGCTCCAAGTGGTGTCCGTGACCATTGCCATGTCCATGTCCCCTTCCTTTGCGTGTCCCCAGCAGCTGGTTGTCCCGGCTCTGCGCCTGACTCTTCCCACTCATCCTGGCTCTGTCCCTGCCGGGGCCCATCTCCAGCCTCACCGGGCCCAAACTCTCCAGGCCTGTCCCGTCATCCTCGGGCCGGGCCAGGGGGTGCAGTGGTCTGTGGGACAGCAGACCAGCTCCACCTTTGCCGGCGCGGGCCCCCTGGCCCCTGTGCCCGCCGCGCTCCCTGCTGTAGTGTCGGCCCTGGGGCCCCTGCAGGGGGTGCTGCAGGGCGTTGCTGCCGCCCGCTGAACTCTGTCTCCTCTTACCGTGAGGAGCTCCGGGCTCAGCACCGTGCGACAACGTGAGGGCGGAGAACAGGAACGCCAGCAGGAGACTCCGGGAGAGAAACATGGTCTGTCCAGCACTGCGCCACCTGCAGGTCGGAGGAAACATGTCAATATCACACTTGCTCTGCTTTAATTTGTTTAAAATAACTGCCACTAAAATATTGAAGCCCTATAATGCTTTTTGGGGGTTTCCCTTTCCTGTGGTGTGTAATATAGGTTTGTGTGCATGTTATCGGTCTGCAAAAGCTAAAATCCCAAAGTTCCCTCCATAGGGAGTTTCTTTCCCAAGAAGAGTGTTTCTAAGAAAATAATCAAACAACAGTGGAGACATAAATACAAATCCCAAAGACTTAGTGAGAATGTTGCATATTAAAATGAGCAATTAGCATAAATCTTCTAGGTATAAACTTTCAGAGCTGCTAGCATGGCTGTTAACATTGTATGTACAGACTATATGTTCAGTTCAGTTGCTTTTTCAACTGCATCTTTCGAATTTTAAAGGGAGATATTAAAAAAATGATTAGCAGAAGACTGTCGTCTTTCATTATCCTGTGCAAACAAATGCATGCAGGGCTTTTCTTCTGTGCAAATATAAGCCACATACAATTGTTGAATCCCTCTGAAAAGTATCTTCCGTCAACTCCCACCCTCAGTGGTGGAGCCCCTATCTGAAATCACAGACCTCCTCAGGTTTTGTGTTCACTGCATTCATTATTCCCTACAAGCTTCCTACACATTCACACTCACAAGTGGACCCATTTATCTGGACCAGGTGGGTTTGAGTAGGCCAGAAAGAGGTGGACAGACACTTGTGCCTCTTTTTAGAATGATTTCCCTGCCTTCACATTCGCCTTATGCCTTCCTCAGTATGAATAATGCACTGCGCTCCTGCTTCATCGCTGCCTGTTCAGTCTCGAGAGGCCTCCAACCGTAGCTTTCATTACAAAATTCAACATTTCTTCCAGGTGTGACTGAAGTGAAATGTGAGGTTCTGTGGGTATTAATGGCCTCAGCATGTTGTACAAACGTGAACAAAGGATGGTGTCGAGATGAAGAAATTATATTTTGTATTCCTATCTATAGGTCGCCAGCTACTTTACAGTCAGGGTTCAATTTAAATGTTGATTTTACATAACTAAGGGTTAATTGCATTCATATTGACATGCAGTTGTACATGTATTTTGAGCAATTACGGTACATTTATTTATTGAATATCACCAAACGTAAACATGTAAAATAAAACCCTCAAAATGCTGTTTAATGCAGTGAACGTATGCAACTTAAATTTGCTTGAAATAAATGTTTTAACATTGTTCATGAGTTCATTTATGAAAGATACCATGCCAACTATACAGATACGATATTATACACTTAAACTTCATTTTTGATATTCAATTATCAAACTTAAAATATATATGGCACAGTCCGACTTCCTATATAAAGTCGATTAATTGGTAATTCAACCTAAAAAGGCTATAGGAACTACACACAACAATTATTATAATATCTGCAAAACCGAGTTTATGTCGAGGGCTTTACAAGAGGAATATGCTATTAAGATGTTTGATGGTACTTTTTTTTATAGTTTTTAAAGATGATAATATTCTTATGCATTATATATGGTGATCTATAAGTTACGTGAATGTCTAATAGACTGTATATTTAAGAAAAGCTAAACTAACCACAGACTCTGTGAATAATCATAAGGGTAAGATAATAAAGCATATTGAATTGCAGAACAATTGTGTCACGTTTTAATTTTGGCGGAATTACAAAAGCCTACACTGTGAACATCTAAATCTTTTGGAATTCTTGCCAACACTACACACTAGAGAAGGGAACACCAGTTCTTCTTGATGACAAACTCTGTCATGTCGGATAAAATGAGACTAAATATGATTTGCTTTGTTTTGTCTTCCACTTTAATATGCTGAGATAATCCATCGACACAGAAGCACACAATACTGTTATGGTGCTTCGTAGGCAACTCTTTTGTGTTAAAAGACAAACGGCAGTGCAGGGAATACAGAAAATCAATGAGGGAGAAGTATTGAGCTGCTGGTCATGAGCGGTGTGTGTGAATGTGTGTGTGTGTTGCAGGGGGATGGATTAGGTATTTGCTCTTTTATCACACTGACCCACACCAAGATGAAACCACATATCCTTTGGGTTTACTGTCCGTTATTTAGTTGTTTCTAAAAAAACAGGACCAAGGGCGGCAGGTTTTGCGTATGTGTGTGTTTGTGTGTGTTTGTGTGTGTATACTAATGTCCGGGGAAATTTGCAGTGCGAGTACAGGCCTGAGGGATTTAGAGGCAGACTGCGTCGGCTGGCTTCTGGGAGTGCGACCAGCTGTGCAGTTTGCAAACAGGAGTGTGAGGGTACTGAGGTGAGACCTTTATCTCCAAACAGGCCTTAAAAGTGTCGGGGGATGGGGGGCGGTCGGACGTGTCACGCACAAAAGTCTTTAGCCAGGATTAAGCTCTGGCTAAGGTGGTGCTTCTGGACTCTGTAAGGGCAAAAGGGTCATTTAATTTATGAAAACAAAGAAAACATCCAAACTTAAGTGAGTGGAAGAAGATGAGGATTGTCTTAGGCAGTGCTTCTCAAACTTTTTCCAGTAATGTACCCCCTTTGAAACATTTTCTCAGCCGAGTACCCCTTGACCGACCCCGAACATTTTTGATAGAAAAAGCCTATATACATAATTACAATATAGTGATGTTCCATCAGTGTGTGATTTATTAACTCCTTCATTCATGAATTACAACAAAAGGATTTTGTCATCTTTGTGCATGAAAAAAAGGAACACATACATAACAATCTTTCCAAGGAGTTTTTCAATTGAAGTAATATACAGTATATGTTTAACAAACCAATGAACAAAATGATATATTATGAAAAACTATAAAATACAATACACAAATTTGACTTGTGTTTATATGAAGACCCCCTTGGTGGTTCTAGAAATATTTTATATACAATTGTGTTTTCTATCTCACTTATTGTACTAAGAAGTAATCATGCATGGTATTTAAAACAATTTTTATCTCACGTACCCCCTGCAGTACTCCAACGTACCCCTAGGGGTCCACGTACCCCCATTTGAGAATCACTGGTCTAAGGGATCATATAGGTTACCAGCACATTTGAATATATAGCTATCAAAGGACTAGCTCATTCATCAGGAAATTCATTTGATTGTTTGCCTGCACAGAGTTAAAAGATTGATTCAACTCTCAAGTATGTGAAATATGACAATCTGTAATCTAAAGATCCAGCAGCTGGTTAGCTTAGCTTAGCATAGTTGGAATCAGGGTACAAATGATAGCCTAATTCCTTACATACTAAATCACCAGCAACCTGTCTTTCCTATGTCCGTCAGTAAATTAAAAGCATTTTGGCTTTCCAACATGGATTTAAATTTGAATTCGGAAAGAGCAAGTCTATCTGTTCCGGCCTGTTTCCAGGCTTTATGGTAAGCTAAACTAAGCTAAACTGAGCTGTACATATATGAGAGCAGTATTGTTGTTCTCATCTAACTTTTGAGAATACTAAAGAGCTTAAACTATTCCTCGAAATAAAGACATCTACTTGTTGAATTGATAGATTTATGGTGAACAATACTTTGATCTAAACTTTTTGTAAAATTCTGGAGATTTTTCTTTAATCTAGGGAATCAAAAGCAGAAAAAATAGATCCATCTATTTCTTGTCTGTACGCATTAATCGGATCCACAGAGGTGGAAATAATAGTAAAAGACAATCAACACAACCCTAAAAATTCCCAAACATGAAAGAAAGATGCTACGCCTCCGTAGAAACAGTAGGCAGCATGCATCATTTGATCGAATCTAAAGGGCTGAATAGACATGTGAAAGTGAAGGCAGGCGGTAATGGGGGGGAGCCAGTATCTCAGCACAGCAGTGCCCTGTTTTCCTCTCTCAGACTTTCATGTGCCGCTAACAGGTGGCCCTTTGAGGAGACGGGATGGGGACGATAATGGAGCACTCTGGGTGGCATTTGGGGTTTTTAAGCACAGTCTCTTGTGTGTGATAAACAACCTCCGAGAACAACACCGCCTCCTGCCAGAGTGTGTATTATCCACGGTAGTGTTTTGTAGTAATGGCACAGCAGGGTGAGCATCTGCTGCTGAGGAGATTGAAGGCCAACGAGTAACTGACAAGTGTCAAGTGAGAAATCCACCGTTTAAGCAGTGAAACAGTGACGTTAAATGTATGAAAACAAACTGGACTTTCTTGGCTTCAAGGGGGTTAAGATAGTTCTGGGTTTAAAGAATAAAAACCTGTTAAAGGCCAAGTAAATACACCTAAGGATTTTTGTCCAAACTTGATCTTTAATTTCTTTTGGTTCCTGGTGAATATTTATTGTTTTGAAAAAATAATCAACATTTTAAGTCTAACTTTTGAATAATTAAATTATTCTTTAATTAGATGTTTACTAAAGCAACGTTTAGACATTCACATTTCACATTTAAATGTTGACTTTAAATGGATTTATTATGATTTTCTTAAGGCTAAAGACTGGAACATGTGATACGCTCAAAGGGATTATAGCCACATTTGCTGATAGTACTTAAAATAAATAATGAACTGCAACTCATCTGAATTTCTTTAAACATTCCTAAATTGACATAGTTTATTGAACATTGAATTGCTTGATCAACCATTAATGAAATGGAAAATATAAATCAAGATGCAAAATGATCACATGTATCCAGGGGTGCCGCCAGGGATTTTGGGCCCCGTGAAAAGATATCAAATTGGGCCCCCCCATCACCAGGCCCAGGCCACGCCAACCAAGCAAAATTGCTAACCACACCTCCAGAACCCAACCCACTCATTTATGCTTTAAATAACTCCACCTGTACAGGCTTGCATCTATCTTGTAGTCCAATACTAACCGCACAATATTTACTGACACTGAGCTGTGAAAATATAACACTGTGCAGACGTGCAACATTCTGCTGCAGTAGAATTCACTATTTGATATAACACTAACATTCCTGACAATAAATATCAATNCTTCCAGAAGCAAAGTTTTTTTTATTGGACCTAATATTTT